GCCCCGGCCCCGGCCCCTCCCCTGGAGCCCCCTCTCCCAAGCCAGCTGTGCCCAGCCAGGGGCTTTGCTGCCTTCCTGGGGCCCCGCGCGGAGGGTGGGTCAGGTTCCCGCCTTGGTTTCCAGAGCTGTGTCGCCCCCACTGAGGTTAACCCGGGGGACGGCGCTGAGCCCTCTGCCACCTGGACCCTGATGGAGCTGCCGAGAGCAAGAGCTGTGGGGCGGGCCGGCCGGGTGTGATGTGGAGGGGGATGAACGCTTCACATTTGAGAGGCCACATGTGTGCACCTAAAGCCTTCCTAAAGAGCTGCCCTGATTCCCGCCATCGGGCACTCAGCACCTCTATGAACCATTTGTGGGGGGAAGATGGAGAGCAAGGGCCTGGCCGCAGCCCCTCCAGGTTGCGGGTCTCCCCTCTGGGTGCCCGGTGCAGCGGCCATCCGGCCTGGCTTCCTGGCTGGGCTGGACTGCAGGTCCCCTGGGGGAGGGAGTGCCGTCCTGGATGAAGGCGCACCCGAGGTGTCCGTGTCTGCGCTGTCGCTGCAGTGCGCTGTCTGGGCTTGCCAAGTCCTTCCAGCGGGAGTCCTGGGACGTGCCTGTCTGATGGTCCTGGGGGACAGCTAGCTCTATGCTGCTCTATGGAGCAGGGGGTGGGGGTGCATGTCCCAGCAGCGCTGTGCCCCTGTGGGAGTTGTCCCCAATGTGCTACTTACCCCTTGCTGGCCCAAGGACAAGCCTCCTCTCCTGACTTACGGCTCTGAGTGGCCCCTTGCCAGATGCTTCAAAACCTCCAAGTGCTCAAGGCAGCAAGCCAGCATCAAGGGAGCGTGTAGCCAAAGCAATGGCTCTGGAAACCCAAGCAGGGCACACAGAAGGGAAGGCATGGCTGGGGGGGGTCAGGGCTTGTAAGTGAACGTCACTGCAGGCTGCTTCCTTCCAGCCCTGTCCTCATGGGGCAGCACATCAGCTCCGTGCCTCAGCTTCACCAGGGACAGGGCCTCCCTCACTAGTGCAGCAGTGAGAGCAGAAGGGGTTCCTCCACGCTGGCGGACGACCATGCCCTGGACCTGAGTGCAAGCGGGACCCGCAGGACATTGCTCTGAGACCCACACGCTTGTGAAGCCATTATCGCAGCATGAAGCTGTGTGGGTGGAAGCAGCCCTCGCTCCAGTGGGTTCAAAGGGAATGGCTGCACCCACTGCAGGGACACGGGCATGGCCATGTCCCTCTGAGGCTGGCTGCTGCTGCCTACTGGGGATTCAGCCTGGCTTCGAGTCCGCATGTCCCAGGCTGTGTTCCCATCGCCTGAACTTGTCCAGACCAGCAGGCTTCTCTGCTTGCTTTGCTTCTCTTGGGTGTACCAGTCCGGCCCACCAGTGGGTGCAAAGCAGCCCCCAGGAAGGTGTTCCTCAGCTGAGGAACAAACAGAGCTTCTCAGATGGGATGTACGTAACCCACACGGGGAGCTGAGAGCCGCATGAGAGTCTGGGCCCAGTGCAACAGGGCTAAGGACTCGGGTTAAACCCAGGTCCCCTTGTCCTCTCTGCTATTTTAACCCATGCTAGGAACACTCCCCTGCTTGCCAGGGTGTCGTGCCATTGGGCTGGTGCCTGGCATTTGTTTCTCACCATGTCTGTCTCTGAAATAGCCAGGCTGTGCCATCAGGCTCCCCAGCTGGCCTCTGCTGATGTTGCAGAGACTGGTCACACTCCTAAGCAGCTGGTCAACTGGTGTGATTCTTGCTCACTTGCGCTTAGCATCCCCCATCGCTGCATCCACCCCACAGATCTTCTGGGGTTACTGGTTACCAGTAGCAAAACCGACAGGCTGTGCTGGCAAGTGCCCAGCTGTTTCCATCCCAGACTCCAAAGAGGCCAGGGCTAGAAATGACCTACCTCAAGGAAAGGCCCAGGTCCTTTGCAAAGTAGTAACGGCAATTCTGTAGGTGCAAGACTGGTCCTGCATCAGCACAGGGCAGTAGGTAATTCATAGGGAACAAAGTAATCAGGAAGTGTGGCAAGTTCCCCTGTCCATTGGGTAATTCCCACAGGGGCCTGTGAGATTCTCCAGTCCACTGGTGATTTGCAAATCTCTTCTGGGATCCACCTTGACCTCTCTTTCAAGCATCACTGTATTATAATGGTGGGGCCTTAGGGAACCTAATCTCCCAGACACAATCAGAGCAAGGTGCTGCACAAACAAGTGCTGAGAGGAAACCTGTGCCCCAGAGCAAACTAAACAGCAAGTAGAAAGTAGGCAGTAGAAAGGAAACCTCTGCCCCATTTTGCAGACACAGAGACATGAAGTGCCCTGAATCCAGATCTCCTGAGTCCCATCCCAGTGCCCTGAACACAGATCCCTGTGCCATCTCTGCATCTGGGCTGGCGATGCCTGGGCATTGCAGCATGGGCTGAGGCTGGCAGCTAAGAGGTCCCAGCCGCTTTGCATCTGAATTTAAATAGGAACTGGCAGAAGATGGGTTTGCCATGTCCGGTGTCCCCAGAGCAATGCCAGAGATCAAGCACTGTGTAGTGGGAGCTGGGGACCCCTTCGCCTCCCTTCGTGGCCCCAGCTAGCTGAGCTCATCTTCCCATCTGGCCTTGTCCTGCAGCCTGGCTGTGCGCTGATGGCCACTGGGTCCTCCTCCTGGCTCAGCAGAGGGGGAACTTGGCTTGCTCACAGTCACACAGGGCAGTCAGCAAGTGAGTTTGGGATTTGAAGGTGCTGGGATCATAACCACTCACACCCAGCTCTGCCCTGGGCTGAACACAAGAGATAAGAAGGGTGTTGCTCCAAAAGCCACACTCCCCCAGGGGGGCGTTCTCTGAACACCCTTTCCTTTTTCTCCAAGCGAGACTGCTTTTTTTGCAGCCTACTCTGTGTTATTGTTACAGCCAGGTTTTGGCTAATACGGGCTCAACTGTGCTGCCTGGCATGGACCAGGTGCGCTGCCAGATCCTTGTACTGAGCCCACGTGTTCTCCCTTGGTTGCACAACTTCAAACTCCATTGCAGCGAGGCACCAGCCCTGCTGGGAAAGGGATGTGGTACTAGGGAGGCCATCATAAAGGACAGCCCGGTTGCCCTCCCTCCTTTATTGATTTGAAACCAGATGCCTTTATGTCCTCTATTTTTCTCTTGAAGGCCCCCCAAGGACGTGGCTCTTAGGAGCTCAGATCCTACTGACGCAGGCAGACATCCTCTGGAGCTCATGGTTGATTGTAATCGCTGCTTGCAAGATGCCCTCGACTGTGAAAATAACTAGAGCAGGCATGCCTGACTCCTTCAGCCCTATGGGTTAGCAGTGGGGCGCGGGGCCAGTCTGAGGGCTGGATCGGACCCACAGAACAGCCCCATATACTGGAGCCAGCATGCAGGGCTGATCTGGTGCAGGTACGTCATGCAGCACGTGCCCTGTGCCCACTCTGCACGCAAACCCCTTACTGGGGACAGCTGGCACAGGTATGTACTATATGCAGCACACACACTAGAGCAGCCCTGTGCACCGACATACAGGGATGGCCATGGGCCTGATCCGCCCCGGCCCCAGGACCAGCGCACAAGGAAGATCTGGCATAAGCACTGATACAGCGTGTGTCCAGGACTGGCCCCCTGTGCCACGTGCTGCGCCAGCAGTGCCAGGTTCAATGCATGCAGGATCAGTGAGACCCACGGGCCGTAGCATAGGGCTCCATGGGCCAGATCCAGCCTGC